TGTGTTGGTGTGCCTGTTTTGCCATTTTTTAAATATAGGGGCCCTGGATAGGATAGGTAGCTTACTTTCTGGTATGAATGTGTTTAATTATAAGTAGGTAGGGCCGGGCAGGTTGGCACAGTCTCTGGTCGCGTATCCCTTTTTCGCGTGTCCAACCTGTTTCAGGAAATCTAATTTGAAAAATCGACAGTGAAATTGGTACAAATGGAGCATGCCACTTGTTTCTGATTTTACTCTTCGATTTTTCGAATTTAGCATCGCGGTCGCGGTCGCGGATAGGTCGCAAGTAGGTCCCGAAACGAACGTTCATATAGGTATTGCTCGAGCATGCACATGCGAACGGACAACGATCACTATGATCGATGGTCGTCCATGTGTGTTGAGGGTTAGCTTTCGCGATTTATATTATTATTCTATCTTTGTAAGTTATTTTTTAGTTTGCGATTAGAAAGACTCGAGCTAGACGTAAGTTTCAGCGGGCATTGCGCTCGAACAAAGAAGAGGCTAAAAGCCGAAGAGGCCCGGCAAACTGCCACGAAGAGGGTCACAACAAATGGTTTCTCATCCTCTGGATCATTTGAATGATTTCAGAGCATGGGAAGTCATTCTCGTTACTACTTTGTCACTATGCTCTTTTAGTATTTGTAGTTGTACTTTTTTTTTCTTCTCTTTCATGGTTCATCTTCATTATGGGCAAATCGCGATTTTTTTTGTTAGTGTTGCGAGAGATCGATTACGGGTTGAATTAGAGTCTCACCTGTTAATTAGTGTTGCGAGAAATTGATTGCGGTTTAAATTAGAGCTTCCGAAGAAATAATCGTGTTTGCTGTAGAGTTGCGAATTGCGATACTGCGATTGTCTTTTGCAATTTTGATTACAATTTTTATAGTTGTTTAGTGTACATAATAAAATTTATCTTCCTTTCTATTGTTTTAAATTAAATTATAGTGTTATTGCTTTTAATTAATTTTAGAATATTTAAAGTAGCTTTTGCACAGTTTTGTATTGTTCATAATAATATTCATTGAATGTAGTTAGAGTTAGTGTTGCGATATTGTTCCATCGCGATTTTCGATTACTTTTTTCTTGTTAGTGTTGCGACAATAAATGATCGCGTTTCTTGAAGCGGCACAGAAGTGGTCATCATTTAAAAATTTATTTCTAAAATTTGCGTCGATGCGTACGCAACGAAAGTTCGATTTATACTAAACTCTTATTTCCGTACCGATCGAAATTTACCTGACCGCGTTAATCAATCAACAGGAAACAGTTTACTAAAATTTCGTAGAAACGTATTAGTGACTCGATCGCTACAAATGATCAACTGAAAATTTTAAATAGTTGTTAAAAATGTTATTAAAGGGAATTTATTTAATTGTTACAAATAAATTATTAGAAATATTAGTTAATGTTTAATTAATTATAAAAGAGAATTTATTATTTAATTGTTACAAATAAATTATAGAAATATTAGGTAATTTTTAAACAAATAGAATATTCAGAAATATTATTTAAAAATTCACTCTTAAATTTTGGTCGATGTGCATACGACGAAAGTTAAATTCATAAAATTTTAATAGTAATATATGTATCATTAGGTCACTCATACTTTATATTATTTATTAACAATTTTAAACAGTAAATGATTCGGTCGTTGAAAATGCAACTCAGTGAATTCATTTTAATAAGTAACATCGTACTATAAAAAAGAAAATGTGCGTATGGAATAGTTTAAGAAAATAAATTTGATTTCGAAATTTCGAAACGGATGAGTTTTGCAAGAAATCATTTATAACAAGCAATGTGTTTCTTTATTGCAATATTTGTAGAAATATGATAAGTCCAATAAATATCTTCCATAAAATCGAGTTTGCGGGATAAAGATAATTCGTTCAGGTTTTGAATTTATTATACATATTTGTAAATAAAATAACATTATATCTAATTATATTATTTGTAAAAATATCATAATTTGAACAATTTTTTTTAATACTTGCTATACTTTCTAATACTACATACTCTAAATGGATGTTAATAGTCAAATATATGCTAAATTTTTCATTCCCATTTTCATTAATCTCTGTTTTAAATCGTTACATTCTTTCATTGATGAAGTACCACCACGTTCAATTCAATAAATAATTCTCGAAACAAATCTAGCAATACTGTCCATATCTTTTGATTTTAATTCTCATCACTAGTAGTGCTGCGGTGCAAAATCTTCCTGAATCGGTACGACAGGATGTGACACGAAAATGGTAATGGTGCATAGCTGCCCCGAAATTGTGGCCAAAAAAATACATTGTATGCAATGTCACAGATAAGATATATAAATATATCTCGTCTGTGATATTGTGAATTTTTAAATTAAAATTTGCATTTTCTTCAACTCATCGAAATCTGCCAAATTACGAAAAACAGTGTATAATTTTTAGTCTCCTAAAGTAAAATTTAAAATAAAAATAAAATTAACAAATAGTTATTATTCGCAATATTTTCCAGCATTATCAGTAATTAAGAAAATAATAGCGTATAAACATTTGAACATACCATGTTAAAAGGTAAAAACTTTAGAATTCTCTATATTTACTTTTATTTTATATCTAATATGTGAGGATTAAAAAAAAAATTATTAAAATAATTGATTGTAAAGTCATGTAATAGAAATGAAGTTCAGCGAGTGTTTCTGTAGTTTGAAAAGTATCCTTCAACTCAAGAAATTACGCTTTATAACAGTTTTCAATATTCAAAACATCTAAAAAATAAATATAGAAGATAACAGTAAGTTGATATTTATCATTTGTAATTAATAATAATAAAAAAATTTATTATTAATAATTTTTATTTACAATATTATTCATGAAATATTATAATTTTCTTTCTTGTTTTTCAAGTTCATACTTAATATATCTTAATATATTTTAACGTCATTAAATGAATAAAAATGATTATCTTTAGAATTACAGTTTATACATAGTGAGAAGAGAGTATGTTCTAGAAATCAGCTGTTGCCTAAAATTTAAGCCTTAAACAATATCTGGTTTGAAGGAATATATATTTCGAGCAAAGTCAATGTATATACATGAGCTTTCACCAGAACAGCTTCGGACTACGAGTCTCATTTTCTCTTCTTTCAACTACGATTTGCTTTTGCTCTCATTCTCTCTCTCTCTCTCTCTCTCTCTCTCTCTCCGCTTCATTCCTGTTCTGTCATACTTTTTATCTGCCATTTAGGTAAATTTCATACGTTTCCCATCAAAATTTGCCACCGTTTAAAGCATCTGTCGTCATGATAAGGTATTCAATGTTGTAATCGATTGTTTAAGCATACTATTGTTTTCACATTTCAACTGTACTCCGATTACTACAAATTTAGATAAATTAGATAATACTACGAAAACTATGATAGTATGAAATTTGACCTTAAACACGCTGACTTTTGAAAGAATTTGATTTTTCTTAAAATCAATACTTTAAAAAGTACTTAAAAGAGATTAAGTAAATTAAAAATTAAAAGTAGAATAAAACAAAAAATTAAAAGCGTATAAAATACATCTTCTTTTTATAGATCATTAAAACTTTAATTATTATTCACTTTACTTCGAGATGAAAGAGAAGTTCTTTATAAAAAGAATCGTTTCCGGTAACCATGCATTAAACATTTTACACTACTTAAATAAAGATTCTGCCATGCTACACTGCTCAAAACAATGGGAAGATTTCAGAGCACACTGAAAACATAACTAGTATTAACATAAGAAACGAAGTTAAGAAATTATTTTTATCAAATTGAATACAAATTTATATATAATATATCGTAAATATAATATGTATCAATTTCAAAATATCAAGTAAATAACTAATAAGTAACCAATCATTCAATAAATAACTAATCTTCAAAATGTCAAGTGCATACTATAATACATTTCAACAGATGGCCTATCTATTTCAAGTCGAAATACGTTCTTTATTTAAATTAAACACCTCAAATCAGTTAGCATAGTGAATCTCATAAATGGATTAAGGATGTTTATGCAAATTCATGTTTGTGAGAACACGAGTGATGAAATGGAATTTAAGCAGGAATTCATAAAGTACTTTGAATATTTTCCTAGATTATATATATATTATATTTTGCACATTTTAAATTTCTCAGAAATGCAGTATATTTGCAAAGTTTGTTTATAAATAATTGATCACTCAAAAAATCTGATAAAGTATCGAATTTTATAAACAAAGTTCGATGAGCATACTTACCTGTATAGACAAGAAAGCCGTGTGAGAAGAGGGAGGTAAAAGAGAGAGGATAGTGGTCGTCAGTAAGTCGGCGACCAGGGAAAGAGAAGGAAGGCCAGCTAGGATGGTGGTGATCGAGTCCGGATCCACGACTGGCAGTTTACGGCTGGTAGTCAACGCACAGTCAGTCAGTCATTCAGTTAGTCGATTGTAGTCAGTCAGTGGTAGAAGTTGTTCCGCTCGCGGAGCCGCGACATGTTTCTTTCGCGTTTCAGTTCATATAAGTTTTATCCGTATTATTTAATCTGTCGCTAACACGGTTGTGTTACAATTGTAACAGTTTTCCTTGGTCTTTTGCTTGTTATCTCTTCGTTTCTTTTTTTCTTTTTTTTTCTTATTCTTCTTTTCTACAAACACGTTGGTTGGTTCTGCGCAGTGAGGTCAATCGATGAAAGTGCAAGTGCCAGTAAGATCAGTGTGTGCGTAAGGACCTTCCTTTCTTCCGAACTAGTGATAAAGTGGGAGAAACGTGTGACCTTGAGTAGGATCTCAAAGAGGATCTCCGCGAAGAAGTGATAGCCTGGAGAAGACGCGACGTAAACGTAGCCACGGATGGTTAACGTGAGTATCCACCGATATGTTTACCATTTGTAGCTTCGTCGAAAAATCAAACAGAAAATCTCTGTAAGAATATTTGAATTACGCGTATAAAATATAACGTATAACGTATGACATATAAAAATACAGCCAGATACAAATAAATGGATATTTATCATGTTGCACTTATATAGAAATTAAAAAGGATTATTTTGATCAACGTGACACGTGTAGCTTTAAAATAAGTTTATATGATGATATGCAGATAGATTCTTCATTTCATATTATAAAAGCAATATATATAAGTATCGCTTTTAGAATATTTAACTAATATTTTAATTAATATTTTAATTATATTGATATGACAATCAAAGGGAAGCACAATAAATTGATACTGTTAAAATGCTTTAAAATGTGATTTTTAAATACAAATCTATTTAGCTAGAAATTTTTGTATACAGTGTATAGATTTGCTTAGTATTATTCCTAATATTATTTATGATAATTGTAGCACCATAATTTGAATATGTAGTCGCTCGTATCTCACGCTACTCCGCATCCAATTTCGATATAACAAAGACTATTGGGAGAGACTGGAGAAAGTAGTTGGCGTTACTTATGAAACCGTTCACGCCATTTCCTACACCGATGAAAGAAACAAAACACGAGAAAGGGGATAGCCAAATGTTTTGTTTCAATAACGCTTGAATATAAAGACATGCAGAGCTAGTAAACAACTGCGTCTAACTTTTTCTAGTTTTCTATCTATGAGTTGTCAAAAAATTTTTTACAAGGCGGATTTATTTGCTCGGATCGATGTAGTGATAAATCGCACGACTGAAAAGAAATTCTTTATTTTTCTTTACACCTGGGTAAACATCCGAACAGCAGATACCCGTGCGCGCCAAGATTTCCCTCCTAGTAGTAGGTCATTATAGAATTTCTAGCGAGGCGCGCCGCGCTATGTGACTAGAATGATTTCTTTGCGTGAAAGTCACCCTGGAATGGTACACCGAATCTATTTAGTGAAATGAAAACTATTTGATCCACGTGGAATGCGAACTAACAACGTGGAAACTTGTAAAAATGCAAATCAAGTTGCACCATGACTCCGAAAATATAACTAGCGTCGTAATCCACGATTTACAAATCAAATAGTGAATTAATGCATAAAAGTTATGTAAATGCAACATCACTGGAAAACACATAAGTGATTTACACATTGCTTTATCGAGGTAGAAAAATATATTCGAATAATAGATACTGTACAAAACAGGAATTACAAACAGGAACAATTTCCATGATTTGAAAAAGAAAGTTTATCATAGTAAACACATCACTTCCCTTTGGAATTCTTTTTTTGAAATTTGTTTAGTCCAGAAAAATTATAAATTTTGCGTTAACATATTAAACTGTAATTTTTATTAAGTATGCTTATACTTATAGCATGAACCAAAGAATATCTTAAACCATATTTTCCGTATAATACTAACAACATTTTAATTATAGTTTAAAATATTTAAAAACGTTAAATTCTTTCGAAGTTAGAAATTTAGTGCTGTACAATTTACTCGTACGAGAGATGCTTTTTTGTGAATATTTACATATGTGTTGTCGAGACTTGTATCGCTTTCCAGTACATACCTGAAAAATACGAAACGTTTGTGGTTTCTAGGAGGATCAACAGGATAATGCATACGAAAGAACAAGTGAAGAATAGTAATTTTCTTGTAACACACGATCCATGACTTCAAAAGCTTAGGTATACATTTTAACATGGACATGAGCAAACGTAATTTATCTCTTCGCTGAAATGCATTTAATATCCTCTTTCGAATAATTCTAATAACCGTTTCAAAGTATATTAAATTCGCATGCGTCCACACTTCACTTGTTATTAGATGCATATGAAGCAAATCAGATTCGCTGGAAAAGTAATTCAACATCCTCTCGCGAATTACAATCCGTAAAATAGCTAGATTACAAAATATTATTAAACTTGGTAATGAATTTAATTTATCTGTGTAACGGACAATTCAGCAAGATCGTGCAAGGTAAACATGTTACGAATAAATTTGAAACGAATTTTCCACCCTTTAGATCTGTTCCGCGTTTCCTCGTGCATTTCTTTAACTCGTTTTCCGGTCGAATCTCATAAAAAGTAAACTCGTCTCGATTCATAATCACGATACATATAATGTATAAACAATTCTTGAACGTCTAATGAGTTCATTGAAATGAATAAAATTTATTCGCGGAGGATGACGTTACTTGATTCTTCGGTCATTTGTTCCTTCCTTCGATTGTGTAACGTTTTATAAAAAGAGGATCAATTCGTCGAAAGCGATCTCGCATTCTTCAAAATCCTTCCCTCCATTCTTACAGCCATGATTTCATAAGTTGATCGCTATGGTACCCGCATACCATTACGTACGATTACGATATAGTTGACAGTAGGCGGTATGACACGCTCAGAAGACAATGTACTCCGTATAGATCTGGCCCTGAAGCGTTTTTTTACTTTCTTAAGTTTCGCCCACATTGATGGCACCGACGTCTTTTATAACACCGTTGTCTATGCGGTTGGTGTAACTATATTCATGTCTGACATCCCGCATATTACGTTAGGTCAGTCTTTGTATTTTGCTTCAAAACTTCAAGTACTATTCTTTGTGACAGAGAAAGGGTTTCAATTCGAAGGGATCCTTTTCGATTCTATGGTAAATGATTGGACAACACTATTTCATTGAAAGATATCCATTTAGCATATCCAGTATATACATTTTAAATTTGAGTCGATATAAAAATATATGGGACATTGACTTGGATTTGTGAAATTTAAACCTATCTGAGTGGGTAGTATAGGATATTTTAATCGAGTTGAAATACATACTAGTCATACTATTTATCTGTACTCATGTTTTCAGGTATAAAAATTATTAAAAGTCGAGTTGGCCAATTTTGCTTTATACATATATTCATATGAACATTAGGACATTCTTAATGAACAAATTAAAAGTAAAATTTTGTTCACGATGATTGCCAAAGCGTTAACTAGAAATATCTAAGAAAATCGTTTATACATGGATATATATTTTATGAATCAAACACAAATTTCAACGATCTAACAAAGAAACATCCGTTAATATAAAGATTTAGGTCGTTACATTTGCGTTTCACAATCTTAAAGTAGCTCGCGTTACAATTGGTGCGTAAGCAAGTAATTAACCGAACGATTAAATTTTTAATCGTTCGTTCTATCTCACTTTCGCTTGTACACTCATTACGTCAAACATTAATCAAATTATTAATTCTCTTATGAAAATCGAAAAAAAAGAAGAAAGAAACAGGGCTTATTGTTATACCACCTGTTCAACAGTTCTTTGATATGGTCGATGTACCTCGAACTCGACCGACACGTTTCTACCTCCGTGAGATTCCCTTGCCTTCGAAACCGGGTCTTCTCTCCACGACCTCGAAACACACAAATTACGGAGGCACGAAGCAATGCGTGCGTACAAGAGAGCCAATAGGAGAAGACCGGTCGTTCCTTGTGCATCGTGATCTTCCTCCTTGTCGTCGTTGCCCTAACGAAAGAAGAATTCCCAGAGACGGGATCATAGAAAGTCCTCGGAGGTTCGAACGCTTCCGATAGCCAGGCTGTTCACTCGCTTCCTAGAATTTATGATCCCTCCAGTCGAGAAGATTCATTCCCTCCCACGAGAGGAAGCGGGATTATAAATTCAAGGGAATCTCTTGGTTCTTCAGAGATTTATTAACCTCGCCATCACGACGCAACGCGACGCGGCAAAAACGTTCATAATCCGCATGCTTTTCGCTTAAACGCAAAAGAAAGAAAAATATTATTGAATACGCTGTGAATATTTACTCAAATTCATATTTTCATGAGTCATTTAAAAAGTAGAACTTAGGTAGACATAAAATGATTAAATATCGTATATTATATTTTGGATGTCTTACATATTTGGATATCTTATATATATTATTGAAACAAAAAATGAGATTCAGTTAAAGAGTCACTGCAAGATTAAACAAGTCAAGAGTTAAAAAAGAGGTTACTTAAAATAATAATTTCTCTAAAATTATAGTCATGACTTGCGAAATTTTTAGATTGGCTTCAATTATTTTTTACTACCATTAAAAATGTTATGCCACTCATGAGAAAGCTTTCGTAAACATTTTTATCCAGTTCGTAGATAGTTCAAAACACGTTCTCCATGTTAAAAGCCAGCTAATATGTAATAACCGATAAATGTCTATAGTTATTAAGTGTTGGACGAAAGTAAAACTTGTAAAGTGAGTTTTCTAGATCGATTTTTCTAAATCTTAAAGTGAATCTTATTTAATATTATCCGTATTAAATAGTTATCATTGCTAACGGTTAGCAAAGTATAAAAAAGAAAAATCAGTGATAAGGTTGCTCAAGGACACTAATAGAACGACGTCACGATTCCAGACTATTGTATCTAACCGCAAAGAAAAGAATCAAAAATGTTGAGGAGCCGCTAAATCACGATGAATTACCGTTCAATTTCCATTAAATCGCTGCCGTAGATAATAGTTCAAGTTATTATGAAAAATGGGAATTGTAATTTACGAAACAGAAAAAGAATGTTCGTGTAAAATCCATTTGCAGATTTCGAATATTCGTAGTTTGATACTCATTCACTTAGATTGATACTCACGAAAGTTGTTTCACGATATAAAAATAAATTTCACGCAAAAATAACACATATCATTTTCATAATTAATGAAAATTCACTCAGCAATTATTATTATTATTTTCAGTTTTTCTAATATTACAATTAAAATTTCATAATTTTGTAATAAAAACCAAAGAATCATTATTATTGTATCGTCTAAGTAGACTGAAGTTATTCTTAAAATGTTCAAAGTCTTCCTTTATTGAAACAGTAAAATCGAGATATAAAAGTTTAAAAATTAAAAACTAAAGATTATGAAACGAATCTCACGAAATAATGATTAAAGAAACAAATACGATT